ATCAGTTGCCGGCTTCTGGACGGCCGCTCACTGCGGCTGCTGGCCGCTCACGCTGGCTGCTGGCTACATACGGTAGCCCATGACAACCCGCTGCCACAGGGGCTGCAGCCTACACCGTCCCAGCGACTCATGGCAACCCAGCTCCAGGTTGAGCTGGTGTTCAGCATCTTAGCTGTAGAGGGCAGTGTCACTGGCCCTCATATGTGGGATCCAAACCGGGGCCCTCTGGCGTCCCAAGCCAGTTCTTAATCATCGCGCCACTCGGCCGGCCCCTCCCTTAAAATTTTTAATATATTCATTTTGAACAAGGATCCAAATCTTTTCCCTACAAGGTATGTTACCCTCAAAGTAGTGTGTTGCAGGCCGTGTATTTATCTAAATACATGCCCTGCACCTAAGCATAGATTTAAAACTGTTGCCTATAAACTTGGAGCTCACAAAACTCCCCCATGGAAACACTACTCATCTGCATTAGTTATTAATTCTAAGAGGCTGGGCAAATGTCCATGACATTCTCTATTTCATCCTAAAGGGATTTCTCCACCTAAAATGATAGGTGGCCTATTATTTAATAATAATAATAATAATAATAATAAAAATCAACAGCTAAATAATGAAAGAAAGAATAGGCTCCCCCAATATAGATGAAAATATTAATAACAACAATTTTTGGTACTCAGAAGACAGACACAGGACAGACATATGATACTTATAAGATAAGTAAGCATCCCAACACAGTGTCCCTGTGAAAGTAGTGGCTCTCCATGCTTGGGGGAGACAGAAGTGGCCATGTCAGTCTTCATCACTTGGTATATCATTTAGACTCAAACAATGAATTCAACCCAGACAGACACTTATATTGTGAAGGGAGACGTTGTTCACCTAATGAAAAGCCTGGTGTTCTCATTTGTATAATGGGAAGTATAGTAAAATCTTATGGGGATGTTGCAATGACGAGAAATGAATAGAAGAAAAGCATCTAACACACACACTCAGCATATGATACCTTTGTATGGACATTTCCTATTGTATTATTGTTTCTCTGGCATGAACAACAACACCTTGCACATTTCAATCCTCACAAGGAAGCAGGTGGTTGAGGCAAGTTAAGCTAAGATGATAGTAAGAAAGAATATCCCTAGCATGATAACTACAAATTTCAGGGAGAGGATTGTGAACTGAAACTCCAGCTGGGAACATGTATGTATCATGCAAAAAAGGAGTAAAGGCATCATCAGTGACATCAATATTCATTTGACATGGACATATGATAAAGTATGTAGCAATTAAGGTTAATTAAATAATAAAATGAATTAGATATACAAATAATAAAAACCTATTAGAGAAATACTTTTGAAAGACATCAGATATATATCATTAGAAAATTTTAAATATATTTTGAACCTTCACAAGTAATAGTCCATAATAAAAATAAAACTGTGTAGGTTTAATTTACCATGAATTATTCAAGCAAAAAAAAATACAGAGATAATGAAAGACTGGGTACCCACCAGTCAACAGTATCAGATTCACACACTTCATCATCCTCATTCTAGGTTTTTTTATTGCAACAAATAATACAGGCATATGTGAGGCCCCCACATATTTGCACAATCTTGATTCTTTTCTTTCCTCTGGGGAACCATGACATGAACTTCTTATATGTTATTCCCCTGCAATTTTTACTTTAATTAGTATCATTCTTCCATAAATTATTGCATTATTTTGTGTTTTGAAATATTTATATATACCAAACCATGCAGTGCATGTCACTTATATTTGGCATTCTTATTTAATTTATATTTTCTTTATGTTGATATATTTACCCCACCTTATTAATTTTAATTATGAGAGAGTATTCCAGTATATTGTTTCATTATATTTTACTTCCCCATTCCCTAACTGCTATACCTATGGTATATACCTTATGGTTAATGCCTTTTATCTTACACATGTTTATGAATACATATATAATATAAAGCAATGTGTGGGGGAGATCATCACATTCTCGATGATGTTGTCTCTAGGAAGGGGAGAGCAAGAAACGAAGGGGATACAAAAGGGATGCCTCCTGCATGAATATTGTTTTCTTACTTTATAAAAAAAGACCTGAAGCTGATATAGCAGAATGTCAACATTTGTTAATTCTGGAATGAGTTGATGGTGGTCATGTATTTTTTTATTTATTATACTATCTCTGCTGTTCTTATATAAAATATTTGGCACTTTTATAAAAAGAAATAGGTGTACCAGGAAGGCAGCCGGCTGATCTCTCTGCTTTTACTTTCCCCTGGATTTTTACGGCCCAGCTTCAGAGGTAATACAAACACTTTTCTGTACAATGGTGTATCATAAAACCAGGAGTCAAAATAAAAGGTAAAGCTGACCAAACCCCTTCCCCCATGACCACCACAAGAATGCAAGTAAATGTTGGAAAGTTTTGTAACAGTCATCATGTTTTAGAAGGGGCAGATTTCTGCTCAGGAGGATAATGAGTTTTTCCACTTTAGAGAATATGGGAGAACAGCAGATTGAGAACTGGCTGAGTATCGGTACAGAAGTACATGGGAACTTGTTAACAAGAAGAGAGCTAGGCTGGAATCTCATGGGACACTTTGTTCTGATCATTTCATGCATATACTTTCCTAAAATGCCTTCCCTGGATGAAATTGTGGTAAATCACCTGCCCTCATTTCCAAATCATTAATTGAGGGACTTAATTATCTGGCTGGCATCCGTGTGGAATGATGTTTGACACGACACTTGGATGTTACAATGGAAGCTCTGTCCACAGGAAGGGCAGAGAGACCAAGTGAAGCCATGGGTTCCTGGTCAAGAAGGATCATGTCTGGGAGGAGGCTCAGGTGTGCTGCTTCCTGACTAGGAAAGGGCTGTTGAGTGAGGTTGTCACAGGCTGCCTGCCTGGGGGATCAATATTCAAAGCTCTTCATTAGACAAACATTTTTAGTGTCATTCTGATCACTGGGTGCTGCAAATTCTTAAAGATCAACACAAAGGGAGAAAAAACTTCATGGTTGCTAATCCCTGACCCTGTTGGACCAGGCTTTCTCTCCACCTGTTCATGCTCACCTCCGCTTCACATACCTTAGGCACAAGTACACACACTTCTTTGCTGATAAATTCTAGGCTTTTTTTTAAGTTACAAACGAAGGCATCTCTTTCTCATTAATGATATCAGGTAGCTTGATTCCAATTTGAAGTGTGAAAACATAGTTTATGTATTGGGTATAAATAATATTATATTTGTAAACATAGCAAAATATTATAAAATTTAAACACAGGGGTATTTCATCTTTAGAGTCATTGAATGTTTCCTGTACCTTAATTTCTGTTCTCTATATTTTATACAACAGAATCTGATCTAGTATTTGTGATTAGTTGTGACTACTATCAATATACAGAGAGTTCATACTCCTTTTCTAGACTTTCATAACTATACTTTCTAATTTCCATAAAATAGATTCAGGGCATATTTTGTTTCACTTTGGGGAACTTTTGATTGAATTGTGGTTCTTCATTTTGTTTATTTATTTATTTATTTTTAATTGTTTATTTTTTCAGTTGACAGTCAATATTATTTTGTATTAGTTTCAAGTGTTCGACATGGTGGTTAGACATATAATTTATGCATTAGTCTAGTACCCATCTGGCACTATAAATAGTTGTTGCAGCATTACTGACTATTTTCTCTATG